ACCTACCTATAAGATTCACAATGTCTTTCACGTTTCCCTACTGGAACCATGGCATGAACGACAGGGTACCGCTGACCCACCGCCACCAGAGGAGATAGACGATCACTTGGAACACGAAGTGGAGAAGATCATAGCACATAGAAAGAGAGGCAGAGGTGTTCAATACCTAGTCCGATGGAAAGGCTACCAACCAGCGGAAGATACGTGGGAAGCCCCCCGCGATCTCGACAACGCGAAAGAAGTACTGGAAGAATACAATAAAAGAAGAGAACTACCAATACACAGCTCAAAAGAAAAAAGGAAAAAAGCTACAAGACAATAGGGTTCCGCTGCGTACCCACAAGCGAACCACCAGCAATACGAAGCTGTTCGCGACGTTCCTCCCTCCACTCCTTTCTACCCTGATAAGAACGAGGACGCAACCCTTCACTCGCCGGCATACCGCATGCTACTGCCAAGCGCACCAACTCATCCTGACGTCTCTGGAATGCTTCAGGCTTCAATTCATGAGTATCAGGGTCGATATTATCTGAATCTTCGTCGGTACTCGGCTGATGAGATTGTCGCCATTCCTTCCATAAAGCCTCGTCCCTAGCAAGAGTACGCCTTTGACTAACACGAGGACGCCGTCGTAAAGGCATCGCTACATTAGCGTGTTGAGAGGGTCCTATAGCAAGAATTAATCCTTCTACCCTACACATCAAGAAGATCCGGTGTAGAGAGGAGAACCCCAAAGATAGCATTACCTACATCGCTATCGCTTCGCTCACCCTCATCCGCCGAAGGCATATCCACTTCATCCTCATCCACACTTTCCTTCTCCTCCATTTTCACAAGGGCCTCGCTGGACTTTCGAACCTCCGTCGACGGGTTGTCGGCAACCCGCGGGCGTTTGCGGGATCGAACACTTTCAGGAGAACTCGCAACGGCGTCAGACTCTCCAGTGTAGACGGGACGACTCATGCGAGGAGCCTTAGCCTTTGGCGGAGCGCCAGTGTCCCGACGTCGAGAATCAGAGAGGGAACCAGCAGCAACCGACGCTGCCTTTTGTTTCGAAACTGCACGGGAAGCTTTACGAGGAGGAAGGATGGCTTGGGTGGCCGAGCTCCCGGTGGCGGATCGACGGGCAGAAGCTGTCGAATCTCCGGCAGCACGCTTCTTCGCCTGAGGGGTGGTAATACTGATGTCACCTTTAGAAATACGGGGAACATCAGAACGTTGAGGGGCACCGGTAACCTGGTGGAGAAAAGGGTCGTCCTCTTCGTCGCCACTAAGATCAGAAAGGGACTCATCAGGATACCTAAGGCGATCCTTCTTGGGCATAGAGGAACGAGTGCGGGAACGGGGGCGAGACGACGATTGAGTGTCGGTACGAGGGGGGATGCGGCCCTCCGAACCAGCTAGCATGTTCACGGCACCCGGAGCCTTACCTCCTGGGGGAGCAGGGGGCGGGGCGGGGGCGTTGACAGCGCGGGGGTGAACAACCGGAGCCATGAAGTCGCCCTCATCATCCGAATCTACTGCGGCTACCAGTCTCATGACGGAGCCTGGAACAGCGGCATCCAGTGCAGGCAAATTATTCTAGAATCCAAAGAAGTCAGCTGAGCACCACTATGGGGAGACGAAGGGTGACCGACGACAGCTCGATAAGAGTCCACAAGGCGCTCCATGAGATCGCCTATTCGATCCAACTTCTTTATGGCAAGCAGAGATAATGCCTCGAATGACTCTGGCTTTTTAGTACCACCCTGCTTATCCTCCTTTCGCAAAAAGGCCTCCACACTCCTGACGTAGCGCTCATTTCGACGTACCATCACAGTCTCGGCGTTCTCTTCCTCTTGACTACCAGCAGGAGTAGCCTGCCAAAAAGCTTGGGTTTGATACAGCAAGTTGACGTCGGGAATGTATCGGGGAGGCACCGACTGGCAGACCTTTTTCTGGGCACGACAGTAGCTACACTTAGCGTGAGGACCCTTGTCGTAGTGACAGAAATCTTCGGGGGCAGAGGACGCAATACGCTTGGAGCAACGAAGACATGTAGGGATAATCAAACCAGCAGGACCTACTGCAGACCGAGCCGCAATCGCCTGGGGGCCGATGGGTTGAGGGGCAGCCATGATAAGACAAGGACTAGTGAAAAGGTAGTAAAGAATGATCTGCTAGAAGGGGAAACGAACTCAGGAAATTGGAGGGAACTTATAGAGCCCCTGGTGATCTGCCAGTGAGAGCGGTGAACGCGTTGGAATGTTGTTTATTGATTGTTTGTGGCTTTATGGCGTTCTTACTTCCTTTTGGCATGCGGCACGGACGCGATCACTCGGCGTCCCATTTTCTTGTGTTACACGAGCCGAGTTCGGGAGGTAAACATACACGTCTCGGGACGCGACGTGCAATATGGGGGGCTCTGTCACGGTCAATCCGTGTAAGGGCTGGCGAGGGCACGTGAGTAGCCCCTGCGGGGCTACTTCGGGCCGACGCCAACCCGCGCACAATTATAAATTGTAGAATTTTCATAGTTTAGAAGGATTAATGAAAAGTCTTTGTGCTACATTACACCTAGTTGATTCATTGCTATTATCTACTCTAACATCGGTTTTTTGCTAATATCAGGTTTTTTGTTAAAATCGGGTTTCTTATTGACTTGTTTAAAGTTAGTATTAGTACTTACTCAGAATGTTATGATATTAATAACAAGAAGTAAAAGAAATAAAAATAAAAAGATATTTTGAATAAATAAGTAATTTGTAATATTATTAATTAATATTGGTTTGAGAGAGATATGGAAAATATGATTTCCACTATACATAGATCCCTAAATGTCTATTTGTATTTAATCTAAAGAATTAGCTAAATAAGGGGAATAATAGGCTTTATATAGGTATTATTGAAAAAACTAGTCTCCTTCGCTTTTGTTTAAATACCTTTAATACAGTTACTATTGTATAGAAGTTATTCCTTTGAAGTGAATTTCTTTGAGTGAATTCCCTTGTTCATACAAAAATAAAATATAAACTTTAATAAGAATAAATATAATTAAAAGATGAAAAGTAATTTTATATTTTCAGATTCATTTGTTTTATTTATAGTTGATTTATAATTCAATTAATTTAGAGATTCCATTAAAGATTTATATAGTCAAAATCGGCCTCTTTTTTCTCCTATGTAGAGTCTGATCCGCGAGATATTAATATCCGTATAACCTTAAATATTTATTAAAAAATTCACTATCGTTCTCCAAGTCCCTTATACTATAGAAAGAGAGACTTTCCTATAAAGAGAGGTGGCGAGGGTAGAACAAAAGAAAGGGTGAAATTCTGAATAGAGGAGTAAAGCTATAAGGTTAAAAGAAATGAGATAATATCAAAAATAATTCCGATTGAATTAGAAAAGAAGAAGAAATGCGTGTTTTTGGTTTAAATGATTTAAGATAAAAATTAAATAAACCTTTAGAATATAAGTTTCTATCCACGACGACTCTTTATTTTTCTAGGTACACTCCAGCGCCTTTGACCATCAGATAAAGTGTCGGAACCACCTCATCGAAACCAAGAGTCGTTCAATCATGATTAAAGGAAAGAGCGAATTTAGATATACATCTCCACTCTAAACCCCTCTTGGCTGTTGAAACCCAAGTTGCACTTCCCCTACTGCTTTGAGTGTCGTTAAGTAAGAGCAATTGATCTCCAGAATTATACTAATGCGCTGTCAAAATTAATGGACAGGAGACAAAATCCTTAAAATGATGGAAGGTTTTGGTGTCAATATTTGGATTTGGAATTACATCTTGGCCATGAGTTACATCGAGATTTCCTAGATCGAAACTGCATGCGAAACCCGACGTTCTTATATTTACGTGCTTAATCTATTACCGCCAATAAATGGCTTAGAATTGTATTATACTTGATATGAGTACTCTGTTTACAAGGCTGCCTAGTCAGTATTCTCAAATCTGTTAGATTTATTTGCTACACCGACCTAGACATTTTAGTACCTGGGTAGTATGGAATTGACAAATCACCTTGAATATCCAAAATCTGCACCCCCCTCATCGTCCAGTGAATCACAACAACCGACATCACACCCACGTCGCTTCTTAAGCGAATGTTCCTTAGTCGTAATCAAGCATTTGCTGGTTGATGATATCATCCGAAATATTGAGCTGATCTTATTGGAATGAAGTGTCAACATTCTAAGATTATGGGATTTCTTCGAGAGAAACCCTTGGAATTCTCAAGAACAAGCATATTTGGTTTCTTTACAATTGCGTCTGCTGGCAAAAGAGCGGAGCATTTATCTTTCCGTCCCTTTAGGTGAGGGAAAGGTTTGGTGCCTAGAGAGAGAAGCACTTGGTCATTGACCTAAATTGAGTATATTGCCGTCAATTTACCCTTAGAAGCCCGTTTTCTAGACTATATAACTATATATATACAATATTAATATAAAGAAGCATTTGAAAAGATACTTATACTATATATCATATTATACTATATCAGAATTAGCTTATATATAACTCTATCGAATCTATATATATATTACAACTTTATATAGAACTTAATAATATTAAGACTTTTCCACCAATTCACAATGATCTTTTAACATGCTATAAGTATAATAACTAATTAGAAAGAAAGTCTCTTATTCTATAGATACAATTGTATTCACGACTCCAGACAATTACATTATCAACGATGAGATACTTTTCGTCATTCCAATGCAATTCATCAGCTTACGAGCCACTGACATCCACAACTTGTTGCATTCGTGCTTGTGGTCTTTATTTCATGAATGGGATTACTCCCAGAGGTCGATTGCAGCCGAACTGCAGATCCATCGTTCAGGATCTGATATTGTGTGCAATAAGGATTTGTTGTGGAAATCTCGAAGCTATTCTCAACTCCGACAACTTTCGGATACGCAGAAAGAACTTGTGTGCTGAGGGGAGAGCTTGAGGCAGATCTTGAAGTTGGAGTTCCCATGGAATTTACGAGAGAAGTAGATGCCTACTGAGATCCGCCATCAGAAGTTTCATTTGCGTAAATTGAAATGTCCAAAAGTGTTCCATTCCAAGAACAGAACCAAGGCCTTTGACCTAGCTGAACAATTTTTCTTTTACGGATAAACACAGAGCCATAATTTTCAAGTCCCCTGGCTTTCGTGTTTGCAGGACTGAACTCGGACTCTGGAACAATCACGATATTATCAAACATAGCCTGAAAAAAGTATATCGGTCTTCTCCATGGATATCTTAGATCAATGCCGAGAGTACCACCTGTCTCCTTCTCTATAGATCAAGGATCCCTCTTACCCTAGCATTCATGAAATATCCAGGATTAAACAATTAGCATTTTGGAAAGAGACTGAGTTAGAGGGACACACCGGTAATTTGCCATGGTTTATAGGTGAAATTAGATCCTTCTTTAATGGAAGTTTGTATACAATTCTATGAATGATATGGATTCGATTTTGACATAGTTCCAGATGTATCAATCTCCGAGTAGAGACTAGATGGGGGATAATCGGGATGAGAGAAAAGAACTTCAGCTTACTTGTGGAGTAGTTCGATCACGGATTTTAGATTGAGAGCAACTTGTGGTTGAAGAGAATATACCGGTATAGGGAGATAGAAGAATGGAGAGCTGAGAGATAGAGATAGGGAACTTATCGACAATGGATTTTGAAGCCAAAAGGACTTGGAATTATAAAGCATAGAAAGGAAAGGGAGATAGAGAGAAGAAAGAGGGTTGATAATACGCTGAGCTGTGACTTGGGGGTGGGGTGGGCTGTTGGTGGTGTTGCAATGATTTGAAATTTGGAAGAATAATGAGGGGGAGATGGACTGTTGTGTAGCTAGATATTGTCTAGCGATGTCGGTAAAGGGGAGCGGGGATGTGAATAGCAGGCAGGGAAGAACAGAATAGGAGGCGCACATGGCGGGACATACTTCCTTGTTCGGATTGAATTTTAGGCGTCCAGAGCGGGGTGGAACTGAATTTTACACTGTACATGTGTTGGGAGTGCGTATTTGAAACTGACAGGAGAGGTATAGCTTCAGAATGTGACAAATCAAGCAACAAATTGTCAACGAATGCCTTCTCGATCGGGATTTTGACGCGCATGGCTGGATACTTGGGGCGGGGTATATTTCCATCGACTTCTGATGGGTGAGTTTCAACGGAATATCCCGCTCCGGTTCCGGTTTTTAAGAGGGGAAATTGTCACTCATAAGCCTCCTTCTTTCCCCCCTATCAAACTCACTAAATTGAAAGAAGAAGCACTTTATACGCCCGATCTGCAGATCTTTCGAGAAGGAGACATGTATTGGTCTTTCACAATTGATAGGTGGGGCGTGCACTCCATCTACCCCGGATTTTAAAAATATAAAATTGTCTAACCCGAATAAGAAGAGTCACTGCGTTGAGCAACTACACTGAACTTGTTTCTCAGATATAAAAGAGCCACTTCTCTCCATCTTTTTAAAATATCTTTTTCTTGATTTATAATTACATTAATTAGTTCGATTTGATTTTTTTTTTAAATATAATTAATATCTTAATTAAAAAACATTTATACTTTAATAGTGAAAGTATTAATCTTATAATTAAATTTTTTTAAATGTTTCGATTAATAATTATCGAATATTTCAAAAAGCGATTTTGATCTGATTTTATGTAAATATGGTTTAATTGAATTTTCATTTTTTCATTTTTGTTTTCATATTCTCAAAAGATTTTAAATTGATTCTATAAAAAATAACAGTTTAATTCCTTTTTTTAGAATTCTTTTTTTTATCTTCCTAGCTTTTTAATCCTATCAAAATTAAAATTTAATAAAACCTATACAAATCATTTAATCAAGAAAAATTCATTATATTTTAAAGAAAGATAATATAATTAAATCTCTATTTAATTCTTTTTTGAGATTTTCAAACAGCTTAAAATTAAAATATAAGAAAGTAACAATAATAATTACTAAAAAAAATCATTAGAATAATACTTAATACACTAAAACATCTCAGCATCTAATTGTCATGTGACTTCGTTGCTTAACGATATAGATTAAGGGGTACGCAAGTAAATCGTAGGTAATTAACCCACAAACAGTTAGAGATTTACCTGAATCTGACAGGAACTGAATTAATCCAAATTTTGTTATCCTGATGTGATTGTTGGTGATTTCCCAGTGGAATCTTCACAAGAACTGCATGGGCGATGTGTTACGCTGTTGAAAATCACAAGGAGAATTTTGGAAGCGAGATGAGAGCTGCACACCATGCCTAGTGAGTTATGATCGAGGAGGTCATTGGCATTTAGAAGCTTTTTGGATTGCCTCAAGATCAAGAATAAGATTTAGAGGCTTCTTGGATCGCCTCAAGATCTAGAATGAGATTTAGAAGCTTCTTGGATCGTCTCAAGATCGAATGCCACCTTAGGGAAAATGTCTTAAAAGGTCCATGGACTTTTGGGATCGAAGTTAGTTGTGATGGTAAAGATTACCTGAGAGTGAAGTTCGGTATATCTCACACCTGAACCAACGATAGATCTCATCAAATACGTCACAATCTCTCAGTTTTGATAATTCTATCAAGGCCATCACGATTTCCTATTTGGGAAGAGGTTTACCCCTCTCTGAATTCACTACAGTCATGTAGATGGAAAAAGAATCCACGCTATTGAAACGGAGCTAAGAATTTGAATCTTACTCTCTCAACTTTCCTTTCCAATTCCTGAACTTTCTTTTTCGATACAGCCTGGTCAAAGGCTTTTTTTCTCACTAAGTCAACTTTCTATTCTTTTAACTTAGTTATATTTGCCCTTGAGATCGTACTCTATCACGATTTGAACATCAAATATCCCCTCGAAGTTATCCATCAGCGCAATCGCAGTGTCGCAAACGCTTACAATAGATTTGCGCATCGAAAGTAAGTGAAATTCCATAGATCTACATACAAATCCATTCAATTTTCCACTTTCCTTACTGGATTTTCTAACTTTCCATCTTGTGGTGTTTTGCTGTAGCTGCTGGTCTGAAGCAGTCAGAATTGCGGTAGTTTCTAACTTGATCGACTGCAAACACTCAAGCAGACTTCGCATTCTTGGACTCTATTTGATTTATTGTTTCTGTTTCCTCGATCAATTCAGCCGTTAGATTCGTGACTCTTTTACTAACTTTTGATATCATAGTCATAGAGGGAACAGCTAGGGGACTCAGTATCAATCCACTCAAACCCCAAGGCAGCCCATCCCAACAATCCTCCCAAAAGCCCTCGAAAAATGCGAAGCGTGCTTCACGAAAGAAGGCGTTGTCAAAAAAACTAGTTGATAAAGATGATGATAGCGAGAATGAGGACGAGGAACTCGATGAGCTGCTGGACCCCGCAACCCCCGAGAAAGGTTCCATTCGACATGGACCAAAAGGTAAAGGACGATCGGGAAGCAGCAGTGCATCTGCAGATGAAACGGGATCAGGTCATGCGGCAGCTTCAAGTGGTTTCACCACTCCAACTGCCAGCCAATCCACGACCCCAACACCAAGTGCGGCGAAGAAACGCGGTCGTCCAGTGACAAGACTTCCATCGACTCCAAAAAAGGCCATCAATAAAGCCGCGACATTGAAAGAAAGACGCCACGCCTACGATAATAATCCCGAGGGTGTTAGTGTCATTGGAAGTATGACTGTCATTGCGAAAATGTGCGGGTACATCGGATTGAACTCTACTCGCGAGGCACACGAGCTATACCACACACCATGTAAGTTCACTAGCGATGTGATGTGCGTTACTAATCTTGAATAGACTTTCAAACCCTTCTGGATACCTTCACCGAGAAGAAGGATACGGGATTCGGTGATCTCCGACAGCTGCCAAAGAGTCATGCGTATCGAAATGTCATCTTGTGGAAACATCTCAGAAGTCTGAGTGACCGCGAGTGGGCATGCATTCAAGAGGATAAATGGCCCACCCCAGAAACCACCAAGGTGAATTACCCAGCTTTTGGTTATCATTGCTGGATTCGCGCGCTTTACTGGATCACCAAGTCTGGATATGCTGGATTCCAGGCTGTCAAACAGAATGATTAATACATCAGAGAAATCGCGATCGAAAATTGGAACCGTGCCTTGGCGTTCCTTCGTGTCTGGATTGAAATGCCCAACAAGAATGTTGGCACCGGAACGGATCGGAAAAAACCCAATTTCCCCGCCATCATCCCCGAGTACTTGACTGCCGAGGATATCAGCGAATTCCAAGTGAACAAGGATGAACCCGATGAAGATGAACGATGCGAGATGAAGCCACATGAAGCGTTTCAAGCAGAAATGCTGAAGAGAGACATAAAATTTCGTCATAGAGGAGCCGCAGACAAACCAATCACATACGAGGAGTTTGTGACTCGATTGAGCATGTTGAGGGAGCCTGGATCAGTAACCGGGAATAGGCCAGCTATCACCAGAGAACAAGCCAAGGAATTTCTTCTTGCAATGAAGGATGAATGCAAAGTAGTTCACGACGGATTCCGCAGCATGAGCGAGCATGGCGCACGTGTTCAGTCTGATGTTATCAAGAATGCAATGGAGACGGATAATGTTGCGAAATCGATCAAAAGACCCGCGCACATAAAAGAAGATTCTTTCTACAAGTCACTAGAAGAAGTCGAAGCGATTTGGGCAAAATGAAGGATGTCTCAACTATATCAGTTGAAACACCGACTTTTAATGAAGCTTGTAAACTTCGAGGGATGGATCCAACGACGAGGACCAAAGAAGGTCTTAAATTCTCCTACCATCATATGCAAGTGGCCGGTATGTTCTGATCTACATAACATTGATAAAAATAACTAACCACATATCAGATATTGCATGGATGGCGATACAAGAAGATAGCCCCATACGTGGTGGTATCGTCGCCAACGAATGTGGTCTAGGAAAGACTCTCGAGATCTATGGTCTTATTCATGAGCAGAGCTTGACTGCCATCAAGCAGCACCGCGAGTCGGGACCACAAGTGGGGGTCAAAAAGAAAAAATACAAGCCAACATTGGTACTGGTCCCAAGTGCTGTTATAGGTGTTCATCTGAAGGATTCCGATCTGTTCCAGTCTGAACTGCAAGTATACTTGTATTACGGTTCAGAGAGTACGGTTCCGTACAACCGAAAGGATATGCTCATCCAAAGAAGCACCTCCAAGGGAAGAACGGCCTCCAGGCATTCCTACAAGATCTGGACTTCAATGATCCAGAGGTATGCACTATTCTCATACATATTTAACATTTTGCTAATTCATATCAGACAACACGGATCGTAATCTTATCCACATACACCACTTTTACGAGCCGTACCGAAAGTGTACGGGAGCTTGACCCAGAAGGTGCTGTTGTTCGGGAATTATCTGAAGCAGAGGTGAACCTATGGTTCAAAAACCTAAAGAAAAAGGAAGAGGATGAAGACGTTGAAGAAGCCGAAACTGACGACCAAAACTTCATCGACGATGCAGACGTGGCAGAAAATCCGGATGTGGTTGAAGGATCTACCACCGTCCCGGAGAATTTGGATTATTAATAATAGAATCCCAAAAGAAAAGGTTTCTCGATGATTTAGGGGTATTAAATCATTCACAAATGATGTTTGAGAAAATTTTCTTGTTTTAGGTGATATTTCTTTAGCAATATTTAGCTTTGTATTATCAGTATTAAAAGAATCAATATATATAATGATATCTAGATAGCTGAAGATATTAGTCAGAACTCAAAACATACTTCATAAATTTCGGGGCGAGCTAGCTAGCCAGTGTTCCGGAGCGTCTAATATTTTATATTATTTTATATTGTTCTTATTATTCTTATTTGGTTATTTTAATAATAGAAACAATAGAAATATTCTTTTATAATTTTTCTATATTCTTATGTAGATTAATTAGACAATTTAGATGAATTAAATAATATAGATGAATTAGATAATTTTGATTATTTAAATGATTTAAGTAATTTAAACCATTTAAATAATCGAAATGATCTAAACAATCTAAATAATCTAAATCATTTAAATCATTTAGATTATTTAGATTGTTTAGATTGTTTAGATTGTTTAGATTGTTTAGATTGTTTAGATTGTTTAGATTGTTTAGATTGTTTAGATTGTTTAGATTGTTTAGATTGTTTAGATTGTTTAGATTTATTAAAATTTCAAAAAGAAAATAAGAATAAAAAAGAATCTAATTTATTGATTTAAGTTTGAATATAATAATAATAATAATAATAATAATAATAATAATAATAATAATAATAATAATAATAATAATAATAATAATAATAATAATAATAATAATAATAATAATAATAATAATAATAATAATAATAATAATAATAATAATAATAATAATAATAATAATAATAATAATAATAATAATAATAATAATAATAATAATAATAATAATAATAATAATAATAATAATAATAATAATAATAATAATAATAATAATAATAATAATAATAATAATATAATAATAATATAATAGCAGCTTTTAATATGTCTTTAATATTAAAGAATTAAAAATAAACTTTATTCTTTATTCTTTTAATTCTTTATTTTATTCAATTCTTTATTAAACCTATAATAAAAGATATTATTATATATAAATTATATAACTATATACAAATTGAATTTCTAAATATAGAAAATATAATATATATTATACCATATAAAAAATCCATAAAATCCGATGTATAAGTTACTTTCGCTACACTCTGAAACATTTTGCAATGCTAACTAAATTCTCATAACTAGCCCATCAAACCAACGCACCATGAAAAGACACGAAAACCGAAATAGTATCAACCACGATGTAATGAGAGCTCCCTCAACTTTTCCCATGCGTGGTCTACTGCTCTGCGCAAGACATTTCTCATCTCACCACCTCGGGTACGCGATTCCTCTTCACCCCAATGAACCCCTGTATCAGAGTCACCCGCACCATCCGTACCGTAGTCATCACCACCAACAAAGGAACGTAGCCAAGAGGGCTCCCGATTTTCATCAATCTCAGAGGGTAGGCGCAGGAACCTAGGTAAGTAGTCATTATTAGCAACTACTTGTCTTCTGCACTCTGCCTTTGTCATAACGGTCCCATAGTGTGCCAAGAAATCGCTATGAGTGGATCCTGTCGACGTTTCCTTGTTGCTTCTCTTTCCAGCGGAGCCGCTACCCAGATCGAAACTCACGCCCTCAGAACCTGACGATCCCGAACGATTGTATAATGGAGTATTTTTAGAAGAGGTGGTTGGTGTGCGTGGGAGGTCTCCTTGAATGGTCGCGCTCGACGCATCATCCACATCGCCACCACTGCAGTTTGCTTGGACGCTGGGAGATAAATTAGAGCTTTGTGGAGCGGGCCCAGAAGGCGAAACTTGGCTAGTTTTGACTGGATGCTGATCTGTTGTACAGCGTCTACCTGTACTAGTGCCATGCGATGATTTTCCAAAAAGGAGAGTTTTGGCAGGAGTTGACGGCTTTGTGGAGCTGCCCATCTTATCGCTTGGAGCTAGCGGAGGGTGACTTGAAAACTTTCGCTGGGGCGCATCGCTAGGGGGTCGAATTTCACCTAGAATTAACTTCGTGAGTGTATCGTCACGATAGGAATCCATGAACATAGTGCGTATTCGTTCGGGCTCTATGATCGGATCATGATTTTCCACAAAGACACCATTGCTGTCGAATGCAATGTGCGGTTGTTGCACATCTCCGCATAACTGGCGGATTGCATCGCAAGTCTGCCGAATGACATGTCGATGGTGTTCGGGCATGATTTCATGGGGGACAGTATCAAGTAAGGTGACAGGCTCTGGTACGCGGCTAAGAGCACGCCTCAATTCGACATCGAGAGAGCTATTTGCGTTGATGCTTTGAGCTAAATTTCTTCTCGCAGTGAGCAGTTCATTGGATGCGCTGTTCAACTGTATTGTGGTCTCATACTCGCGCATGGCGACCTTGGCGGTTTCCCATAATTCGTCGTGCATATCCCTATATCTATTGGAGATAGTTTGGGATAACATGGCGGATTGAAATACATGAGACGTAAAGTCCCAAGGCATTACTTTGTTGAAGATGACTCCCCTACTGGGTTTGACCCCCAAAGTCTGACGTATAGTCGCGTTTTGATAACTTAGTAGTTGTCGATAAGCCGCCTCAAACATTGAGACTTGGTCTCTGCGGGCATGGTGTGCCGGGTCTCTCAATGCTCGCCTGCTAAGCTCGGAACTAGGCGATTTGACAGCTTGTGGCCTAGCAAAACGTTCTATCTCAACGAACCGATGATGAAACTCAATCTGGATTGTGAGAAAATCGTCCCCAGTCATCCTGTAGCCTTCTCCGCCTAAAACACATATCCATTCGATTTCTCCATCGCCGTCAAGTATTTGGATGAAACCGATGCGACGGTCGCGAACTAGCTCTCCACCTTGTGGATAATCGAGACAGTGGATGCGTGGTGCACATGAATTTCCGACATTCGATCTATCGGCATACGGCTCATTGAATCGATCAAAGTCTGCTGGCCAAAGCACATGTAGGTCGACATTTGGTGGGGCGTATTGCCATATCAAGCCGAGGAGAAGGTCGGACAATTTGACACTTGTGGGGAGGGGTGTTCCATTTGAGGCGTATGGTAAGCCATCTGTGAAATGGATGGGCTCTTGATGAAAAATTGACTCTTTGGCGTTTGCCAGCAATGTGCCATGACGCTCGGGATCCAGCGGCATGTAATCGTGCAAGACTGTCTCGGACCAGTATGCCATCATGAGTTGGTGGACGCCGTGTATGTCATCCTGATTCGGCTCTGTAGCTTGATCATTATTTGCATCGTACTGAACTCTGTCTTCTAATGCCAGGTCCCTCTGAAGATTTTTCAAATCGCCAAGATATCGCGGATCGGGCTGCCTCACTTGCAAAGAGGCTTGCACATTTCCTCTCGCAATGGATCCAACAAAGGATAGAACGGGGTACCTCTCACGAGCTACTGTTTGTATCAAATTATACGGAGTGGCTGTGAGTGAAGGCTCTGTTAAATCAATAACATCAGCGTTCTCCTTTCCCTTCCCCCTGTTCGCGTTCGCAACTTGTTTTTGGCTTTGTGCAGGCAGCTGCTGTGATTGTGTCGACTGGCTTCGTTCCGCCAGCTGCTCGGCTTGCCCAGATTTGATTCTTTCCGCAAGCTTTTGCTTTTTGATGGCCTGTGTATACAACAATTAGATTCGTTACACGCTACACCAGAGTTCGATGGGAACTTACATTCGCACCCATGGTTGTAACTAACTGTTTGTCGCTGAGCAGTTGTGAGGGCTGGTCGCTCTGTAACAACAGAGTGACCGCAGGCGTCCTAAGGGGAACTCATGGAGAACAGAAATCTCCAGTAGAACAAAGGGTAAAAGTCCCCTTGATTTTGATTTTCAGTGTGAATACAAACCATGACTGAAAAACGGAGGAGTAGATCGATAGCAAGTCAAAGCATGACAGAGCAAAACCAAACCACTTCTGTGGATTTACTGTTCCTAAGTCAGCTTCATTTTAACGGGAAAGATCGAATGCAACTCACTTTGACTTTGAAAGTATTATTCCTTTCCGCAATGCTGGTACTTCTCGATCTAAGTCGCGCTCCTGTTGAATGGCAACGTTGGATCTGCTAGGTCTACTATTAATATAAGAATCAAAGAGGGGGGGATGACAAGGCTTTTTGACAGGCGCGAAGGCTCGATCTACCAGTTTCAAAACGAGAAGAATAACACTTTGAAATAAATCCACATAAGAGGCAGGATTTTTGTGCCTAAAGAAGAGGAGAATTGAAGACTCACGGGAAGCAAAGACGGTATGATACGGAGAGTGGTATCGAAGAGAAGTTTTGGGAGAGGAGGATAAGAAGAGTTGTCGGAGAGGATTGTTGTTTTGGAGAGAAGTTGTTGAAGGTTTCAAGGTTGCTTGATATCGCGAAGGTCAACTAGCCCCTCTAAATGAATTCCTTTGAACCATGATTCATAGTCTTCACTTTCAAATCAAACTTGAAAAAGAACCAGTAAGCGACTCTCAAAACAATACTATGAAGTATGTTTTGTAAATATTAACCCAAATTGGTAATCGAATTCAATAGTAATTTCATATTGTTATAAAAATATAGTCGAAAGGCTTGAGTACCTCTTTGTAACATGATGCAAGGGGTAACTCTACACCTGTCTCAAACATCAAGATCTCTTTTCCTTTTCCTTTGATTGATGATGAATTATTCGGAATGGGGCCATTTGAATGTGTATCTTCAGCTTGATCGCCTAAGAGATTTTCTGTTTCCTCTATGTGTTGACTTGGTTCTACAGACATTTCAACGGAAAATGTACTGATATGATGTTCTGAAAATTGTCCTTGAGGTTATAAATTCGACGAATGGGAGTTTGCGGTTGGTGTTGATTGGACAAAAAGATTGTAATTGTTATCTTAGGTAAACTTCCTTTCATAACTGCGTGATCCATCTTCCCACACAATATACCCTAAACTGACTCTCCACGTTCTCAGGTGTGAGGAAAACTTAAGATACATGATGCCAGCGTTATCGATGAGAATATGAGTGACGATCGCAGCAATTTGATCTATGGTCCGGCGCCATATACGGACATACACAATGCAAGATCAGCTTCCATGAACTATGCTTTCTTTGAGGGGCTCATTGGCTTAATCTGTTCGAATACCTGGGACTCTTTATCTTCGTTGTGCCCAAGGAACAATACCTTATGCGGCCATAAGCTGACTTCGACACGAGCATCAACTCTGCCGAAGCTAACACCGACAATCGCAGATAATGGGCTGAAATTTTGGAGGAAAGCATGTTGTTTTTATCCTCTTATGAAACTATTTTATTGTCTATTTTTGCCGGATATCGGTTTAAGGAATGCCGAGCCAACATTATGCCCCATTGTACAAGAATGGAGAAGTATTTCTCGAGTGATAAGTCGAGATCGAGAATTAAAGCATTTTGACATAGTTGAAAAGTGACCGGCGATCCCTGAAAGATGGAAACTTTGGAAATCAAACTACTGATTGATGATGATTAATCTGAAGTATCCAGAGCCGCACCTATTTATGTATATTAATTCAACAGTGCGGAAGGTTCAATTCCTTGTAACAATGTATATGTGGAACTGCCGTTGAATTCGATTACCAATTTGCCTCAGATTAAGATTTTCAGCCAGCCTATCTTTGGTAAGGTCTAATGTAGACTGAAAGTATGGCCTTTCCACCGCATCATCGGATGAAGCAACTCGGCTCTGAAAACTTCCAATTCGAAGCTGCATAAAAAGTATACGGAATGAATTAATGGATCCCTATCAAACTTGTCATATCTTGGGGCCTCAAGTTTCCCCACTAGGCTTGATTACTAATAGCTGCAAGATCAATTTTTGAACTAACCAATTTGTGATTAAGTCGAATTAAGGTTGCAACTAACCTCAAAGGCACTCCCGCCGCATCGTCGGACCAAATAATCTCGACTTTGTATAGGTATCTCCAATTCAACTTTGTGCAAACTTTTATCTAACTGTTTGGTAGAGTCCTATTGAACTTATTGTATGTCGGGAACTCGAGCTTCCGTATTGGTTTCTGTTTTGTACATCGCGTCAGGTTTATCAGCATGCCGCTTCCCAATTGTGAAAACCGGCAATGCATATGTACCATATCTTCTCTGCATACGGAGTGATTGAAATTTCCGCGAACGTATTGATTAAACTTCGAGCTCTCTCGGTTTAATTTATCTGATATTGATCAACTCAATCATGATCTCTAGTCTTGCGTTATTGGGGTATAAGAAGCCCGACTCCTGTTTTTGAACATCGGCAGCTGAACTACCTCACTTCTCATATTTTTATTTCTGTCAGGAAATTCCAATCATCAACAATCATTTATAGTAAAATGTCCGAAACCCTCACAAACTGGAAAGGCATAGGGGATTCCAAACGCGATGTTCTGCTGTCACTCATTCCGGAAGAATGGCGAATTCCACTTCCACTTCCACCTCCCTCAATATTACCTGACGTGACAGGCCATATACGTCAGTATCTCTCTTCGAAGGAGGTGGAAATCACGGAGACAGACGCAGTTGATATCGTTAGAAAAACTTCTAGCGGAGACTGGACATGCCGTGCAGTTACCGAAGCGTTCTGCCATAGAGCAGCGTTGGCTCATCAGATGGTAGATAACCCCCCATTCCTTTCTCCAATGAAATGAAAGTTAATGGAGTTTATATGTGAATAGATCAATTGTCTTCATGAAATCATGTTTGCGTCTGCCCTCTTGCGAGCCTCGGAACTCGATTCCTATTTTGCGGAACACAAAGAGCCCATGGGTCCATTACATGGTCTTCCCGTCAGTCTTAAAGACTCAATCCACGTGAAAGGCATAGACACAAGCTTGGGCTATGTCGGCTGGCTGGGAAAGTCCCAACCAGAAAAAGAAAGTCAAGTTGTCACTGATCTTCGCTCTCTTGGTGCAGTTATTTACGTGAAGACCAGTGTTCCTCAGGGGTCCATGTCCGCAGAGACACGTAACAATATCATTGGCTATACCCCTAATCCTCGTAATCGTCAACTCACTGTGGGGGGAAGTTCAGGTGGCGAAGGCGGTCTTTTGGCTCTGCGGGGAAGCTCTGTCGGACTTGGAACTGACATCGGCGCCTCGTCTCGTGTCCCTGCAGGTTGGAACGGCTGCTACGGACTCCGTCCATCAACGGGAAGATTGTCGTACGAGGGGATTGCCTCGACAATAGACGGTATCATGCTTCCGTTTGTGGTTGGGCCAATGGCGACAAAGGTAAGTGGACTGGAATTGATGATGAGGAGCCTATTGCAAACTGAGCCGTGGAGGAGAGATCCCATGGTCATTGAACTTCCTTGGAAAGAAGATAAATTTATGAAGATGCATGAAGGAATAAGTGGCAAGGAAAAAATGGCATTTGGAATCATGATCGGAGATGGGTATGTGAATCCACAACCGCCTGTAGAAAGAGCCATGAGAATGGTTACAGATGCGATCAAGGCGCTAGGCCATAAGGTATATAGTTTTACTTCCAGATGCAAACAATCTTGCTAAAACTGCCAGGTCATCGAATGGAAGCCGCCGAGCCACTCCGCTGGTAACGATCCATATGTTTGTGATCCCTACCTTATGAGTAGAGTATAATTGACCATCATTTAGTTCAAGATTTGCTTTGCCGACGGTGCTAAGGCTCACCACTCCGCACTTGCGATATCTGGAGAGCCTTCAACCGAACCTATCTTAGGAACACAGCCCTTCCCAGAGGGCAGCGCGAGCCATATCATCGAAGCAAACATTGCAGTCAGAAATTATCGAAAGAAGTACCTTGACTACTGGAACAGTACCTCAGAGATCACCGGAACAGGGAGGCCAGTAGACGCATTTATCATGCCACTTGCACCGTTTCCACCTCCTCGGCCGGGACAGGCCCGATATCTAGGTATGATGATCAAATTGAATTAAAAAAGATTGAGTTCACATCTAATGTTTCTTCTCAAGGCTACACAACCATTATAAATGCCCTGGACTATACTTCATGCGCCATTCCGGTGACAGAAGTAAAAAAAGATATTGATCAATACCCGGTGGAATATTCCAGTCTAAATGAGGTTGACCAAGCTATTCATGATGATTGTAAGGACTTTCTCCCTTAATGTTACTCCATCGGTTAAGATGAATAATTTCGTGCTAATTTTCTAGACGACCCCGAACTATCACACGGTGCACCCGTAGCTGTGCAAATCGTTGGTGGGAGATTGCAGGAAGAGAAGGTACTCGCATTTGCAACAGGAATCAGCCAACAGCTCGAGAGATGAAGCTAGGCTTCAAAAACTTCAATTCAACGCAATTCAATTCAAAACGATTCTCCAATTAATTGATTCCTTTTAGCAAATAATACGTTTTCGATAAAAAGAAATTGTATCATCCCGAAGGCCTCAATTCAATAAATAAATGCAATCTTACTTTTCGATTTATTTTCATAAATTTTGTAATTTTACTTCGTTAATTCAATTGGTCTCCTCAACTTGATGTTCGCGCACTGATCATCCGTGTTTTTTTGAGTCAATGATTCTCTTGTACTTTGTTCGTGGTTGACGTGCTTGTAATGTATAAAAAAAATCTAATGGCGGCCTCCGCTTTTCCCGCTTCAAAATCAGCAAAGCATATTTGAGCTCCGGCGGGTTCGGCGGAATGATTAGGACTAGTGTTATATAAGAGACAACTTCATAACATAAATATCTTGTTCATACCTTTACATATTTCATATCAAACCACAAGCATTCCCCTTTTCAAGATCTGACCATCAACTAAATCACCCACCTCCACCTCCTCCGCAAGCACAACAAACACAACTCCAAAAATGATGGCTCCTACAATTTTGATTGTCGGTGCAACAGGCAATACTGGCCGAAGTGTTGTGGAGACACTTTCAGACTCAATCAACAACAACAAAACACTTGCAGGGTATCGACTCATTGCCCTCACTCGATCTTCGGACAGTCTTACTGCACAGAAACTTAGCAAGCTTCAAAACGTCACGATTGAAGAGAAGACTTGGGTCGATATCAGTCCCGAGTGGTTGAAGGAACGCAACGTCGTCAAGGCTTTTGTATGAGCCCTGAAAATGTTCTAAACACCTCCACTAAGTGAAAAGTACGCTGATTCTACTCCTAGATTGCTTCCCATAATGAGCCCACTCAATTTGCAGATGAATCAACATTCCATCTTGCTTTACTTAATGCTGGCGTCAAATACGTTGTACGCATATCCACCACAGCTGCCAATGTCTATCCCAACTGCCCAGTATACTATCCACGCCAGCATTGGGCTGTCGAAGCTTTATTGAGCTCTCCTGAGTTTGAAAAGCTTCAATGGACCTCACTTCAGGCAAATGTCTTCTACAGATTCGTTCTTGGGCCAGCCTTGGAGTTCATCAAGCAATATCGCAAAGACGGAAAGCAAAACACACTCTTGTTGATGACTGATGGCGATGCACCTCTAGGATGTATTCACTCCGACGAAGTCGGTCAGTTTGCCGCTGTTCTTCTGGCCCAGGAAGATCACTCAATCCACAACAAGAAGAAATACGAACTCAACGGACCAGTGGATATCAATGGAAAGCAGATTGTCAAGCTGGTGGAGGAATATATTGGGACAGAAGTCAAGGATTTCAAGTTCAGAGACGTGTCTTTGATTGACACCTGGGCTGATTCGGTTAAGGCGAATAAGAGCCTCATTTTATCCATTAAGGGTGCTCCTAAAACAGGTTGGGAAGGGAAGTGCTCGACTGCAACGACGAGTAAGGAGTTCTTGGAGCTATCCCCACCAAAGATTACTCCGGCAATGTGGTTGAAATCTGCCCTTGAAGAATAAACAGAGGGAAAGATAGAGCGGTACTGTTGAGAAAATACTCATCGTTGCGAATCCTTTTGTAGTATTTTAAATTTGATTCGAGGCTTATGAAATAGAGCTCGGCTATGTAACTTCTTATTGAGGTTTGTAACAAGTATTGATTCAAGGGTGATATCATTTTCGATATATCGACCACTATAAGCCCTCTTTATTCGGTCTTTAATAATTTATAAGATTGTTATATCTCGTTATCATACATTGTTAGTTCGAGGGGTTTTTAAGGGTTATTAATGATAATGATTCATTTTGAAATGAAAGTACTGACTCAACAGTTTAACTAAAATCTTTTCTGAAATTTCAAAATCTATTTCCTCGACGGCTAGTGTGGCCTGCTCGCTGAGAAACCATGTTGTACTATTATTCATTCCAAGATCTCGAAAGTCGATTGATAATTGTTGTACAGGCTCTACTCTACGTAAGTGAAAAAACATACGAAATTGACCTTTTGAAGCCTATCTCAATATCGCTTATTTAACCGATATCCCTGCTACATACACGACCCTACTATATGCACGTTTTTTTTTCATCAAAATAAAATTCAATTTAAAATTCAAAAATCATTAAAATAAGATAGAATTCAGTTTGAGAATTCAATAGTATTATTTATTTTGATTTTTTTAAATTTCAAATTATTAAAATAAAAACTGATTAAATAATAACATAAAGAGAATATATAATTTTGATATATAAATTTTCAATAATAAATATTTTAAAGTTTATTTATAAAGTTTAAAAACATTTTAATAAATTCTTTGATATTAATACTTTTATAAAGAAAATAAAAAAATAAAAAAAGTAATAAGAATTGATTTTAATATAGATTATTAGATTTTCTAATTATTTTTATTATTTGAAGTTTTTTTTAAAAATGAATTTTAAAATGAATTTAAGTTTTATATTTAATATTAAAGTTTTGAATATCATAGCCTTTATGAAAGAAATGATATTGAATATTAAAAAATATAAATTATAAACTAATCAAAAGAAATTCTTTAAATAAATCTTTCATTTTTAAAATTCCATTTTTAAAATCTTTTAAATCTTATTTTTATGATATATAATGAAATTCTAATAATAAAATTATTATTATAATACAAACAATTTCAAAATAAAGGTTTTTATAATTCGAAATATTATTAAATTAATTTTTGAAAAAAGAAAATCTTAATAAAAATCATTTTAATATTAATAAATTCTGAAAGTTCAAATATTGAAATTTCTTATTAAATCAAAAATCAATTAATATAACTTTCTTCTTTAATATTAAAATGAAATATATATATTTAAAGATTACAAAAACTAAAATTTCAATAATTATTAACAAAAGCTTATATTATTATTGTTTTTATATAAAAATAATATAATAATATATCTTTATATATATATATATATATATATATAGTTCTATATTCATATAGTATACTAGGAGCGAATCACAGGATCACCTGACTAAGTCACCTGACCAAGTCACATGATCGTATCACGTGATCGTCGCTTAAGGCCCTTAGCCTAGAACGGCCGGAAAATCGATTCTTTATTAGCTCTTTTAACTTATATATAGCTAGGTTGATATAACTATAGCGAAATCGAATAAGGAATAAGAAAGAAGAGCTTTATTTAATAGAATGACTGAAAAAGGAAGAGATCTATAATGGTAGAAAGCTAAATTGATAGGAAAAAGTATAAAATAAGGCCTTTCCCCCTCGAATATAGAATAAGAAATAAGGAATAATATATACTGTTTTATGAAAATCACGTGTTTCATAAGCTATTTAGTTGTTAATACGAGCCAGCTTCCCATAATAGACTAATACTAGTCTAATCCCTCTTATATTCTATATATATATTATATACCTATATACTAGCTCATGACCTACAATAATTATTATTAATATTATATCAAATTAAATTCTTAATATTTATTTTTAAATCTTTATTTAAATACAATATTAGTAAATTATAGATTTTAATAGATTTATATAAAATTTGAAAATTTGTTATTATTATATAATTGAAAAGTAAAGTCAAATATTATAAATTCATTATTATATTAATAATTAATTCTTATAAATATTCTTTTGAAAAATTATTAGAATTTAATATCAATATAATTTCAGAATTTTAATAAAAAAGTTTAATTTTTTCAATTATTTCATATTGTAATATAAAGAATCTCAAAATTTCTTTAAATAAAACTTATATTTTCGATTCTATTAAAAAATATATTAATAAATAAGTAATTTCTTATATCAAAATTCAATATCTTATTTATTAGTTTTATTATTATAATCTTTCACAATTTCAGATTTTTCATTTCCAAATATTATAATAATTTATTCAAATTATCTTAATTTTAAATTTCAAATGATTTCATTACTTTTTTGATTTTTAATTCAATTTAATATTATATTTTATATAAATAATAAGAGCGTGTATATAGTAGGGCCGTATACATAGTAGGGATATCGGTTATTGAATTATTAATTCAATTCGAAATTAAAATCAAAATCAGATAAGAAGAAAACTAAAGTTTTTCTTATATTTAGAATTGCAATTCTTATTATTTAATATAATTTCAAAAAGAGATCTGAATTATTAAAGTTCTTTCAAATAATGATCAATTTCCTCCTATTATTTTGCTATTATTCGTACTCGTAGAGATAGGATTATTATAGATAATCGATCGTAATCAAGACAATCAAGACAACAGTACCTATGTAGCTCATGAGATCATCACCCGAGCACTTGCCGGAAGCCCCTCACTCCATCATCCCCACCACGTCTCACGAGTGGTGGGGTAGCAGGGACGAGAGAGAATGTCATGTGACGATAATAGTCCACCTCACCGTCCGGGGCTATGTCATGACTAAGCCTAGGCATTCAAGGTAATTGGCCCAGTCGTAAAACATGTCATGCACTACTTCGGACTTCTTACAAATGGGGGAGTACTACGAGGGCGTGTCTTTGATGAATGCCGGGCTGAAATTTAAGCGAATTTCCTCACCAAAACCATACTTTATTCTATATCTTTATAAATAAATAACAATTCAAATATTCATTATAAAACTTTGAAATTTGAATTGTTAAAAAAGAATTAATTCATAATTAATTTAATATTAAAATTACTAATTTTTGAATCAAATTAATAATAAAATTCTATATAGAAATTTGATTCTTAAAATAAACATTATTTTTTATAGAAATTTTAAGCATAAAAATTCAATATAAATTTTAACTTAATTGAAAGCTTTAATAAGAAAACTAAAACTGTATTATTAAATTTTTAATAAAAATTTATTACTTTACAAAATTTCAAATATATAATAATATTAATTGATTTAATATTGAATTCTAAAATAGATGAATTTGGGTAAATTTTGGTGTGAAAAAGTGCTTGCGCACGGACCCGGCAATCATCAAAAACACGCCCTCGTATTGATGGAACGTTTGCTTGAAGCGAAAGATACTATATTAATAACATTAAGTGTTCTCCCTTGGGTCAAGCAGACTCGGCAGAGCCCATTACAATCTAAGAGCCCGTTCGGATCGATTTGTTTTTGAACATTAGACCAATATATTAGCCTAATATGATATTTACCGAATACAATATTATACTTAATATATATTAGATTACATTAAATCTAATATATAGGGTTAAATCTAATATACGAGCTTTTTCTCGGCCCTTCGCGGCTAAAAATAACAACGGCCTCGCTAGCGCTCTCCGTAGTTATTTTTAACGCCACTCAGGACCTACGCCTACGCTCGTGCTGCGCAGCTTTTTAATAATAATAATAATAATAATAATAATAATAATAATAATAATAATAATAATAATAATAATAATAATAATAATAATAATAATAATAATAATAATAATAATAATAATAATAATAATAATAATAATAATAATAATAATAATAATAATAATAATAATAATAATAATAATAATAATAATAATAATAATAATCATAATAATAATAATAATAATAATAATAATAATAAATAGTTTTCGCTAGCCTCTCGCTTCTAGCTCGCATAAGGGCGCCGAAGGCGCCTTTAAGCCTAAATCTAATAAATCTAATAAATCTAATAAATCTAATAAATCTAATAAATCTAATAAATCTAATAAATCTAATAAATCTAATAAATCTAACCCCCCCTCCTCCTCTCCCCCCCCCTCCTCCTCTCCCTCCTCTCCCCCCCCTCCTCCTCTCCCTCCTCTCCCTCCTCTCCCCCCTCTCCCCCCTCTTTCTAATCCCCCTCCTCTTTCTAATCCCCCTCCTCTTTCTAATCCCCCTCCTCTTTCTAATCCCCCTCCTCTTTCTAATCCCCCTCCTCTTTCCAATCCCCCTCCTCTTTCTAATCCCCTCCCTCCCCTTTCTGATCCCCCTCCCCTTTCTAATCCCCCTCCTCTTTCTAATCCCATCCCCTTTCTAATTCCTTATCTCTCTTATCGCAAGTTCCGACATCCGAACCAATCAGAAACGTTTATTCAATTCTTCAATTCTTCAAATCTTCAATCTCTTCAATCTACTCTCTAATCAATTATTTCTCCCATAAATTATAACTTATCAATATAAAAATTATACTATTGAAAAACTCTCAATTCATAGAATCCTAGAATCCCTTTCGATCTCATTTTATAAATTCTCTACTTTTGATTTGTTGATTAATTGATATAAAGCATTTTGATATTCGCGTACAGGGCATCCGTACTTTTTCTCGATCAATCAGCTTCCAGTTATAAACCGTGTTTTAAAATATATATATTAGAGATAACTAAAATATTTCGAAATATTTTGAAACGAATATAATATTTGAATTAATAAAATATTGAATTAAATAATCTTAAAATAACAAATACAACAAATTTTCTCAAATTTTCTTATACAATAATTAATAACAATTTTTGAAATCTAATTAAACAAATATATTTAAGAAAAAGTATTATCTTTTTCATTTTCAATATAATTTCTTCATTTTCAACTCAACCTTGTATATCCCAATATTACTTCAAATATATTAGCTTCAATATTTCAAACCTCTTGCTATTTTATTATTATTAAAGATTTCACCAATAAAATAAAAAATCGATCTGAACGAACCCTAAAGCGCTATTAGTGCACGGACTTCTGCGATAGTCATAGCGACGTCCACATTTAGAAGAATGTTGGCGGTGAGAACCGCCCGTTTCAAGATGAAGCCGACAATTTGGGGGATTGATGTTGAAGTAACTATGACAAGATTTTCTATCTCGTTGATTGCCAGAACGATCTCGGCTGCTCGAAAGAGCTGTTGTATGAAAGAAGTGAAGAACCGAGAAGAGTTCCCATAAAACATTGACTCGATAGGGATTTGTTCTATCTATCTTGAGGATATTCTCAGTCGCGATGCTGAGATTCAAATCATGAAACCTTGGCATGACATTCCCCGCCAAGAACAATTTCTGGGGCCACAGTAAAAGGAAGGTGGGGGTTCAAGGGGGTGCTTTCCCATAAGATTGGTAACGAAGTGGAGTATCAAGAAATCATCTCCTTTACTACCTTTTCTAGAATCTACAACTCCATTATACACCCACTCAAGTAACTTGTCCTCTACAGTCCGTCCACTTCGCAATACCCCTTATGGTCCAACACTCCGCATATGAGGCTGATAAATTACGCCAAGCCAAGGTGAAGTTCTAGAAAAAGTTAAATTTTAAGCTTCAAATTTAAAGTTTTAACCTTAAACTTTTGACCAAATTACCTCCCAAGACTTCTCATACAACAGGAATATAACAGGCAATTAAGTATGCATACATACTTTTCAAGGGTATCTCGTGTATTACGTTCGCGGTATATTACATTTGAAAGGCATAAAGAAAGCTATCACTTGGCACAATATACATGTCGATGAACCTTTTTCTATTCTTATTCATTTACCGTCAATGCTCAAGTGCAATCGTGTGTATGCTGCATCAATCTTATTCGCTGGATAGGGCTCGATTGTAGGAATCGTTCAGTACTAATCAGTTCATAGATCAGTTTATAGTGTAAAAATTTCATAGTAGTATATATGCATTTCCCCTAGAGTGACAGATTCAGTACCTCACAAAAGAGGGCATTGGATCTTTGTTTAAGAAGCTTAATCGTTCCACAAGCAGAACCTCGAGAAATTCACTACAGATTTTATTTCCCCGAGCCACTAGTATTGTTAGGCACTGATAGAGATTATATCATTGATAGCGGTGTCTGTACTCTGTAGTCTCAATGACAGATTGGATTCGGAGCAATAGAAAAAGTCAAAAGTCAAATCCTCACTTGCCTGTGTTCATTTAAAATTCTAATATTGCATTGTCATTATGCGGGCTATGTTCGGCCCATACATTGAAATGGGATAGAAAAAACTCAAATAAGCGAGTTAAATGCAATTCTTCGGTTATCCCTCTGCTTCTTCGGTTATCCCTCTGCTTGACAGGGGACAACAGATGATTTACTAGCTTATCATCAGGAAACATGTTCATCAGAGGTTCAACTAAAAATCTTTCATCGACAAATTAGGAGGGAGAGATAGTATATGCAAAGCTGGGGGTCTGTGGATATCACATCCACACGAGCAATCTTTAGTTCGGTATCCGCGGGCTCACCCCGGAGACAATACCTTTGTGTGAAGGATATGTACCCTTCAAGACGGTGGGAGAAGACTATATAAGAGCGACCTTGTCCCATCTAAAGCAAACACAACAAATACTTCCAATCATTCAATCATCTCTCGCAAACCCATATCATCTTTACAATTCTATTGTCTCTTGTAGATCTCAAACCGCAACAACCAAAATCAAGATGTTCGCCTCAATTCAGAAGCTCGCCATTTTGGCTCTCTTCTTCGGTCTCTCTGCTGCTGCACCAGCTCCAGCTTCTGATGCTGTACCCCAAGTTTCCACCGAAGCTTTGGCGGCCTTCGGCCTTACTGAGGAAATTGTCGCCGCCACCAGCATCACCAGCCGCGACGTTCTCGAGGCTCGCGCCGTCCTCGAAACACGCGTCGCTTCGTGCAAACCACCAACCACGCCCAACAACGCCACTTACGGCGCCTGCATCCTTCCCTTGGTCGAGCAGGCCCGCCAGGGAAACACCATTTACATGTTAATTCTAGCAGAATACTTGACCAAGCATATGGGTTGCCCCACGGATGGCATTTCGGGAGCGGCTGCGCGTCCAGTTGTCCAGGTCCTTGCTCATCGCTGTGGGGGTCCAGGCCCACAGCGTGTTGATCAGGGAGCAAAAGGCTGGTCCATCAACAGTTCTTTCAACGAGAAACCTTGTCCTCCAGGTAGCAAATGCGCTTAGTGAGTTACTCGCAGCTACATGTTTGATTTTGGAAGGCTAAGCTAACAAATTTATAGGAAGCAACGCCTGTCTAAGGCAGTAACACGGGTCTTAATTGCAGATTTTTGAGTGAGGCACTGAGCGTATGAATCCAATGGAGTTATTCATCCGTGTTCGTTTTATTATCTTGGGATCACTCACCACTCGATTACAACATGTTTCTGTTTTTGAAAGAGCTACTGCAGGTGGTGAGATGGCTGCTTAATACAGCGTTCTTGAGCTGGATTTGATTTCAATCTGTTTATTGTCTGAATTTCTTGTAGATATAAGGGGGTTGATAAGTTAGAATGTATACTTCAGTTTGTATTTAAACATAAATCGGCTTTATTCATGAAATCCTATTTATTTATCTAAAAGTAGAACTGCCTTGTGATTGATTAGCAACTATTGACGTAATAATGTAATGACCTATAAATGATTCAAAATAATACTAAAAGCAACTAGATATCTATATGAACTTGAGTAAATAATTTTAGGTCATTGAGCTACTATAGTATACTAAGCGAGAGGCTTGGCCTCAAGCATATTAGAATTCCTTGTTCTTGTAGATAACTAGCTCTTTAGACAGAATATAATATGAACAATTAGGGCCTATCATCGTAGGCACTAAGTCAAGTATACATACTCTTCTCAACCCAATAATATTATAAGGAAAATGAGCATTCTGAAATATTTTTGTATTTCGTATGAATGAAAAGTTATTCTAATCCCCGTAGTAGTATACTCCGTAATTAACGAAGCGACCGTTTCATTAAGCATAGTGAAATTTTCAATAGTTAATACTGTATTGAAAAAATCGTTCTTAAAGTATTAATATAATTAATCTTATTTTCGTATTTGATAAAAGGATTTTACTCTAAAGGGACTTGATATTTTTGAAATTTCTTTATTTTCGAAAGTTTTAGTCTAAGATAATCACTTTCAAGTAAAAAGGGTTACTTGTATTAAATTCGATTAATAATCAATAGAGTTTGAATATATTTATTAGAGTTATTTAATATTACTATTTATAATATATATATATTATTTGATATAGTAATAAAGCTTCTGATTAAAGAATAAATTGAAAGTAAGAAAAACGGACCCCCCTTTAGACTTTCGACTAATGTCTTTCTCATTCTTTAGCTCCTACATACACTCTCCTTTACTCGTTCCCCTTCTTCTTTTAGCTTTTATTTATCTTTTTGACCTCCTCCTAGCTCCTATATATATACTCTTCTATTTACTTGTTCTTATTCAATACTTAAAATCTCTAAGAGGCTCTTTAGAACTTCTTATTTTCTTTATATTTATTAAAATTCAATAATAAACAAATTTCATTTTGAACTAAGAATATTCATTATTAATGAAGTATTTAATTTATCAATAACGAATAAAAGATTAATTCTACATTATATATTTTAATATTTATAGAATTTATATTGAGTTTCTATTCGTATCTAAATATTAATTTTACTATTATATTAATATAATATTAACTTTCCTACTATATTAATATAATATTATACGACTATATTAAATAATTATTTTATATATTGTTATAATTAGCAATCTTATATTATAGCTTTTTAAACAATATTTTGTTAATAGATCTATAATAATCTTGTTAGCTTTAAGCAAAATCTATTTACCCGCTATATGATCAAGAGCTTCGACCTATGCACTAAAATCGATCACGTGGTACTATGACATAGAACCATCACATTGGGCCTCAGGCCACAAAAGCCGGCTTTTCGGAGTCCGCGGAGCACCGTGGACTGCGATATAAACATGTCCATATATGCTGTCAATCAACTACTGTGTGAGCATTCTGATGTTAGAATTGTCTAAGAAAACCACATTATGGAAGCGACCGCGGAGCCACGGACTTCAGAGTCTCCTGGTCATACCACTACGCATCAGTCTCGTGCTGTGAGTTTCACGACGCTGTAAAAACCCGGTAGAGCCTGCTAATCGTTGTCTCATATTAAAGTGTGAACAGTGTCATCGACGAAAGGTGAATCAAGAGATTAACCATGTCACTTGGTCGATTGCTGATTGTTCAGATTCGTTGCGACAGACGATTTCCTTGTTCGAACTGCCAAACAGCCAACCTACCATGTCGAACTTTGACTCGGCGGCCCGTGTTGGCTCAGGTGAGACCAAGCACCAGAAATAACGAGTAAGGTGATTTTCATTTTGTGGATACTTGGAGTAACGAACCTTTCAGGGATATCAGATTTAACCGGCTCGAGGAGCAGCTTTCCAATATTCAGCAGACTTTGTCGATGCTGCAAAGCAGTCTCATGGAGCTAAAAGTATCTGATCGTCCTTTCAACTCGGCAGAAATTGGAGAGAAACACGACACCACGGGTAAGCAGCATACTACAGTAGTCATGAAAGACGGCTTAAGCCTGCCTTCTTCAGAGATGATCGCCTATGAAGGTGCATCATCTCTTAGTGTTCAGTCACACCTTGCAAGCGAGATATTTCGGGACCTAGTCAAAGGGAACCCTCTTGCCAGTCCGGCCCCAGATATCAGCATGGAGTACTCGCAGCTCGACGAGGCTTTGAATCGCAATGACCCACAGTCACTTCTTTACGACAAATCCTTTCCAGAGACAAAACCCCAAGAGAAGTCTCAAGGGAATACCGTAATGCCCCCCTTAACAGATCTCGTGCCGCTCTTGAAATGGGCCAAAGGTGACTATATACACACAATCAATCTAGTCTCCTCGCTCATTTAATACAGGCCCTACACAGCCCACTTTATTGTCCTTTCTTCCCCTTGTCTCCATCTCTGAGCTTGACAGCCTCTGCAAAAAGGCTTACTTCGAAATGGAAGAATGCACCACCTCCGACTTGATTATTATCAATTCGTGTTTACTATTTTTGCTGCCAGAATATTGTATTTCACAGAGCAAGGATAACTCTATAACAGCAAAATGCCGGCTCAATAGCGTTCTTTGCCAGAGAAATCTGGAATTGGCCTTGAGTCGTTTAAATCTATTCATGAGTTTGTCATTGGACAATGCAAAAGCTTTGACATTGGCTGTGAGCAGCAACACATACCCCTCATTTTGTGATTCCGCTGACCAGGATAGTCAATGTATGCCATAGGTACACATTCCCTTGGTATGGCTTGGACATTGATTTCCACAGCAGCCAGACTCTGTCAGAGTCTGGGCTATCATCGCTTGGCCGCCCAAAAGAACACGGGTAGCAGTGATGAGAATGCGAAGACGGGGTTGTTTAGATTCGTCTACATTCTAGATCAGACGCTTTCGTTGAGACTTGGCCGGCCATCGAGTCTCCGTGAGTGCGATCTCGCAACAGACTCTCTTCCTACCAGGTCGACTTCTGATTTGCAGGTATGGGACTTTATTTGGTCCCTATGGATAGAGGCAGCCCAACTTCATGCTTGGACATTCGAACGCCTCTATAGTTCTAAAGCCATGGAGCTATCACAAAACGCGCGTACAGAAGCAATGAAAAATCTCGCTTTCCTCACTCTTGCTGCAAAATCTAGAAACTCCAAGGTAGCTTCACCTTTCCATACATACTCTGATGGTTCTGTTACTATGGTTACTGATCCTTCACAGCTGGAAGGCCAGTTCTGCGAATCTGGGGCTAGTCAGCACCAATACCTTGGTTTCGTCCAGCATGCAAACGATGTAGTTTTTTTGTCTCTTTTGACGCTAATCTACCGATCAATTCCTAGCGAAAGCTCTGATACCTTGTCTCCGTTCAACCAACAATGTCTCGAAGCGGCCCAGGCAGCACTCGCAGCACATCATTCCTGCTATCTCAACTACATGAATAAGCACAAATATATATGGACGATATATTTGCAGTGGTTTGTGACATTCTAAGCTGTCGAGAAACGCGACTAACAATGGGTTTAAGGACAGTCCTTGCATGCCCAATCATTCCATTTCTTGTTATATTTTGTCATGCCGTCAAAACCCTTTCTCTTGAGACCATGGAAGATCTGGAAAAGTTCGTCACCTCCCTTCAGCCGGTCGATCAAACCTATATTGCCGGCTACAAAGCTCACGCACTGTGTCAACGGTTCTATGAAGCTGGAAAATCCTACATTGAGACGCAGCTGCAGCGGAAGAGGGAAGCAAGCATGGCGGACACGTGTCAGGATCTTGGTGCGAGCATTTTCACCGATATTATACCTGAGTTCTTGCATGCCCCTGATGGTACCAATTACGTTCCGAGTAATTATGGGCTAAATATCCCAGGAAGACAACAGATACAATTTAGGCAAGACCTCATGGCAGAAGAAGATGCTTGGTTTTTCGGAGATCCAACCATTTTGGGACTTGCTGATGATATTTACTACAATCTCGATAACAGGTCAGTGTAGTGTGAGGTAAAGAAATAGACTGCGCGATAGATACCGAGAAGATAATAGGTCTTGTGAATCACCTTAGATTATCTATCTGCATAGTAGATAGTTGAAACATCTAAATGGACAATTTGTAGGCTATTTTAAAAACCATAAATAATATAAGCTTGGATTTGTATTAATGTTACGTTAACTACGTTAACTTTATATAATCATTTGTAGAGTCATAATAGAAGCTTTGATGGATTATCAATAGAATAGACAGCCTGCAGAGTACCCATAAGCATGAATTATTTTTGCGCGGCCCATAAAGAAATAAAAAGTGATCCGATGTTTGTTTACAAAAGATTCTAGATGTTTTTGTTTGTCTCGGTGTGACGGACTTCCGCGGCATCCAGAGTCGGAGTGGATCACAATACAACTTTACATAGACTGAGACCGGGATTTAATCATCCACGGTATCCTGTTGTCCGCGGCAGTCCGACGCAAATCAAGCGTGCAATCTCGTTCTTGATGTCTCTTATGGTGTCAGACGAGCATGGCTGGTGGCTTGGTTGATTATACACAATTTCCGTTGTGGATCTGGTTGTTACTATGAGACGATTTGGTTGGAAATATAAAGTGCGAAGCTTTCCCACCGATGTTTAGTCGTCAAGTTTATTATTGCATGTCACTTTGAGAGTCATAAGATATAACCAGCATGACTCAGTATCAGAATATTGATCAAAGGAAGGATGGGGAGTATGCAGCACCCGTCATGAAACGGTTATTCACTGGCTAATCTTATCTTAGGACCTCACATCTTGGAAGTAAGGACGAGGGAGCGCACGAGCGTCAACGAAGAAATCATCTCCAAGAAAGTGGCTCATCGCCCTCATCATGCAGCATCATGCAAGATGCGACAATCGATGATGGCTCAGTGCATTACGAGTTCGGTGGCCCCTGGGGTACGGGCGCAATGATAGTAGGCTTCCCACTGCTCATGTACTACATGTGGATTGGTGCGACATTTTATGGCGGCTCCTTTCCACTTCCCTCAGCAGGGCAGTCCCTGACCGAATTTATTATCTCCCTCATTCAACTGGTCTGTAAAGAAGCATTCCCGTCACTATACGCTTGTAAGATATATTGGACGTTCATCATCTTTCAAGCTGTGTGCTACGTAGTTCTTCCTGGAGTTTGGAGCTATGGAAAGCCGCTACATCATCTTGGTGGCAAGAAGTTAAGATACTATTGCAGCGGTCTGTGGTCCCTCTGGGTATCCATCATCGTCACAGGGGCGCTGCATTACAGTGGTATTTTCAAGCTCTACGAGCTCTTGGATGAGTTTGGGCCGCTGATGTCCGTTGCAATTATCTCCGGTATCGAAATCGCGACTTGGGCGTATTTCTCTGCGATTTTGCGAGGAGTTCAGCATAGAATGAGCGGCAATCTTATCTACGATTTCTTCATGGGTGCAGAACTCAACCCGCGCATCGGAATTTTGGATCTCAAGATGTTCTTTATGATACGACTGCCGTGGAATATCCTGCTTGCACTTACTTGTGCCACAGCCGCCAGGCAATATGAGCTGTATGGTTATGTTAGCGCGGAGGTGTGGTTCCTGATAATGGCACATTTTTTGTATACCAATGCGTGCGCAAAGGGAGAGGAGTGCACAACGACAACATGGTGAGTAATCCTCGAGCCAGCTACATTGGCGACATGAAATAGAGAAACTTTGAAAGTATGCTGATAAGGTGCTAATAGGGATATATACTACGAGAAATGGGGCTTTATGCTAATCTTCTGGAACATCGCAGGGGTGCCCCTCAGTTATTGCCATGCTATTCTATACTGTGCCAACCATCTTTCCACACTGACTGAATGGGCTTATCCGTCTCTCCGGACGCCCTCACTTGTCCTTCTCTTCATATCATACCTCTTTGCCTACTGGGTCTGGGACACGATTGGCAGCCAGAAGAACAACTTCCGCGCCCAAGAGCACGGCACCTTTACAGGCCGTAATGCATTCCCGCAGCTGCCCTGGCGCACAATCGACAACCCGAAAGTGATCAAGACGGCAACGGGTGATAGTATCCTTATTGATGGTTGGTATCGATATGGTCGCAAAATCCACTACACTTGCGATATTTACTTTGCGATTGCATGGGCGCTGGTGGCCGGCTTCGAGAGTCCTTTTCCCTGGTTCTATCCAGTGTTCTTTACCTGTATGATTCTTCATCGTGCTCATAGGGATATCCAACGTTGTAGGGCAAAGTATGGACGTAGTTGGGAGGAATATGAGAAGGCAGTCCCTTATATTTTTATTCCGGTAAGTTTCATTCGTCACATCTAGAGGATTAAATTTAACAGTTGGCAGTACATCTTTTGAGGTTGGTGCTTCGAAGTGTGGGAGTTGATATTGTAAGAATAAGAAATACCATGGTTAGCGATGGGATAATACTTAGAGGAGAATAAGTAAACAAGGAACCACCTAGACGCCTTCAAGTCGTAAAGTCGAAGCCACCTAGGTATGGATTAGGAGGAGGTTATCTCACTTTCAGACCCTCTTTGTCGATAAAACGCTTTTGATAAAATATATATTGAGTTCTGATTAATATCTTCAGTTATCTAAATACCATTAGGTGTATTGATTCTTTTGGTATTGATAATATAGACTTAGATATTGTTAAAAAAATGTTATCTAAAATAAGAAAGTTTTTTTTAGATATCGTTTGTGAATAATTCAGATACCCCTGAACTATCGAGAAACCTTTTCTTTTGGGATTCTATTATTAATAGTCCAAATTCTCCGGGACCCTCGAACAGTGCCACCAATCCGGATTACTCTCCAATTAATGTAGATGTACCTAGATCCCCTCTCGATTCGATCCATAAACTTCAAAATAAACCGAACCCCGCCGTCTCAAATGGATCGACTGGTTCACCTGACATGTCGTCTACTCACCTGCTAGAAAACCTACGTCCAGTCCTAGGATTACTCGATCAAGCGCGACCACATGAATCTACCGTGGTTATCAAAGATAAACCCGCCTTTTCATCTCATGTCCCATCGGATCCACCAGGAAATTGTCAAATTGTTTCACCAGAGTCAAATGTTCAACATAACGAGTCTTTAGAAGCAAATCTCCGTCTCGCCTTCCACTTCCACCAGTATCATCGTCAATCGTGCCTCAATCTATCCCAGGGATGCAACCTTTGGATTTAGATGTGGATTCTAGAGCATCGCAGTAGAATATTGAACAAATCTAACCGCAACCACCAGCCCGATTCCAAGAATTAGCTGGACAGAAGAGGAAAAGAGGTGCTAATGAGCTCCCTCCTGGGGTTCAATCCCTAAATGTTGGTCATCCTTTTAAAAAAAGGTCGAATAGAACACCTCCCAAGTTACCGAACAGAATCTCCTTGGAGGATATACCTCTATGGTTACAAACTTTGATTTGTTCGCGAGATTTAGTAGCTGCTTGTCATCGAAAAAAAAGTGTTCAACTTGAGATATTTCGAGAGCCTCTATGTTGGCTAAGTCAGTATCATGATCGCCCTTATGTTCATTGAGATCAAAAGATTGAATGTCAAAATTGTACAGAAGCTAGAAGAAATGGTCAGGAAGCGGTTTGTTTTTATTGGGAAACACCCCGAGATGTAGTCCTAACGCCGCAAATCCCATGATATCCATCCATTGTAAGTCCCAAGTTATAAATCGCAAATCCCAATATTGTTTTAATTCAATCTAATCTATAACCTCACCTTCTTTTTATTATTCCTTTTTTTTTATTTTCCTTTTTTTTTATTTTCCTTTTTTTTTATTTTCCTTTTTTTTTTTTTTATCTCTTTTTATCTTGTAATCAAATCTGCAACGCTACAATTATTGAGAGATGGAGATTAGGGTGAGGCTTGATGGGGGGAAGGTGAGTTAGTTGCTTTTGGGGTGGAGTAAGGGTGGAAGAAGAGAAAAAAGGTAAGGTAAAAGAAGGTAAGGTACTCACATTGTCTGATCCTCCAACCTCTCCGGATCAAGTTGGGAAAACATGCCGATTAAATGAGCGGTTTCTTGAGTTTGGACTCTGATTGGTTTATCATTGATGGAAAACATTGCTTTAGTCTAAACATTACCGTTAGTTAGTCCATTAACCCCATCAGAAAAACCCCTCCTTAACAAAACAAGTGACCAACCTCAAGACTACAATAAGTAACCCCCGAGCCCCTCCCCCACCTCCCCAAATGCCCCACTTTCTCCACCAAGCTCCCATCATTTTTCGTCGTACAAAAAAGATTTCCAGCTTGAATGGTAAATGTATCGTTTGTAATGGTCCACTCTAGATACACTTTTTCGTTTTCATTCCCTGTCTCTTCTTTTTCTTTTTCTTTTTCTTTTTCAATGGCTGGTCTGAAAAGCTCTACAACACGGGATAATAGTGCGTACGCGCAAGCATTGGTTGTAATTTCTGATTTATTTCTTTGATCATGACTTGATTGGTCGCTGGGAATTGACTCGACATATGATGGGGAGGAGGATTTTTCCGTGCGACGTTTTTTTGGAGGAGGTTTTTCGGGGGTGGAGGATGAGGTGTATGTTGGAGAGGCAGAGGGAAGGGGAGATCTTTCTTTTTCGGTGCGGAATTTTTTGGGTGGAGGGGTTTCCGGGGTAGAGGATGATGCTGGAGAGGAAGATTGTTCGGTGGGGTTCTTGGCTGGACGTTTCGCTGAGGTAGAGGTAGAGGTAGAAGTTAATGGGTTCGGAGGTAGTAAGGGAAGTTCCTGCTCCTGCTCCAGTGGGGATGAGGACGAGAAATCTTAAGTAAATGATTTTGGCTTTGCAATTGATGCATGCTCAACATCAAGTGATCGTAGTCCTCTTTGAGGACCAGGTGTAATTGGGGTTTCGAGAACTTGTTGTAAGAGTTTGAAGAAGTCATCAAATATACCAGCCGATTCAGAGATTTGGTGGTGAGTAAAAGCAGTCCATTTTTTCTCTTGCAAAAGTTTGAGGACGAGTCGTATTTCTTTCGATTCATTTATCCATATAGTGGCTGTTTGAAAGTACTTTTGAAGTTGGTCCGGAACTCTTGATTGAGGTTTCTTCCGTAAGATGTGAAATGTTTCAATCTCGTGTATACTCCATGAACTACCTGACTCGAGAGATCTTGTTCGATTAGCTATAGAGTTATCACGCCAATGAGGAAATAGCTTTCTGAATTCTCGGGAGGTTGAAGGAGTAGATGACATATTGAGGTGCAAAACAGACAGGAGGGGATGAAGTAAAGGGTCGAGGTAAGAGATGTTTTGTTTTTATGTTTAGGACTGGATGGAAGCTACCGGTAGCTAAGAAAGGGGAAGGGTATGTGTACAAAGTGACGGCGTTCGTTTGCTAGTGAGGCGAGGCGAGTGAAGTGTGAATGAAAAAGAGACCGTCTCTACGTAAGCAAAAAAACAGGCGGGAATTGACCACCATTCGAAAGAACTTCAATAACTAAGATCTCTTCTCAATATAATACTAAATAATAAAAAGACTATATATCGATATAAAAAAGACTCAAATTCTCGTTTGGTTTTTTCAAATTTGAATATTTAATTTGAAATGAATTTATAATCTATTAAAAATGACCTTTAAAAGAGTACTCAATTTCCGCCTGTTTTTTCGCTTACGTAGAGACCGTGCTGCCTAATTATGGTGCGCGCGGAGCACGGAGCTTTATCATGTGACTTTAGGAAGTCTGTGAACCTTATCGATAAGATATCGGACGAATAAACCTGCTAACCGACCTCGGGCCGGCTTACTTCGTATGAATTGGCTAGATGGAATATGAGATATGGGATATGGAATGTCAAGATTATCTAGAGAGCCAGCGGAGCGTCATTAATGGTCATTAGATTGATATTCCGCTGGCTTTTCGAGGGTCACAGGCTGGTGGGGAAATTGAAGGCAGGTCACATGGTTGATGCTGCTTTAACTTTTACCATTTCGTTCACACATCGCGACAACACCATCTCATTCAATACCACGACACCACGACACCACCACATCAACAACACTACAGTACAGTATTACAGCAATACAAAACCATAACACTTCCGTGACTTCTAGTATCTCATGCTGTCGGACACTATTCGTTTCATAACGCGATACTTTCCACAACGCGACCCCTACCTGCATCCCGACCGTCATCTACTTCACCATCTCCACCATCTCCGCTATCTCTCTCTCTGGACTTGAGACTTCCGCCCTCCGCACTTTATCAACATGTCAAATCCCTGGCTAATAACAATCCGTAGCCTTCTTCGGGACTTAAAAAGCTCTCTTCAACATTCTCGTACGAAGATTGCGAAACCCGATAAATCTCAACTCGAACAATTGAACATATCAATCCAGCAAACCTACCACATATCCGGCTTGGATAATTTCTGTGTTATCGAAACCTTCTTGAACACCAAATCCCGTCAATCAGATATAAATATCATGGCCCAATTATTTCGCTCCGAGTTCTTGACGGCCGATTTTGCCTCTGAATATGTATCTTCGCTATTACTCGCATGGATTGAAGATGATATGGGAGAACAAATTGTTGATGGTTTACGGACCAAATGGTTAGTTCTCTGTCTACTAAAGCTTTGGATTGGGGAAGTGGGAATAACTAACTGACTGTAACAGGAAGCCGGTATTAAAATTCCCAAACGATACATATACTGATGGTATTCGAATCGAGAGAATCCTATCCCTCCGACAACAACAACCACTACCATCAAGGAAAAACCCCATTTACATTTCCTTCATCGTTCGCAAGGAACATCGATCAGATGCTGTCATAACATCAACAGAGCTCTATACTTTATTCTGTACCATGGCAAGACATGAAAAAGCAGTCGTCGTCGCATATAGAAACTATTGAAGTCAGTAATCCTTTCTTTCAGTATATCCCAACTGAATCCAAAAAACTTACTTACTTTTGTCCAGGTACGAATGATAGTAGTATACTCCCGATGGGTACAAATCATTACGGCGAAATCGACGCAAGCGTATATTACATCCATTATCAATGGATATAATGACATTGCAGGTGAAATGCAAATCTCTCAGACACCGTGGTTTAATTTTTCGAGTATTTTAGGGAGGCATTGTGTTTTACTCGCTGTATTTGAGGGAATCAGGATACGAAGTTCTGATGTCAATTTTAAGGCTCAAATTCCTGATCTCAAGGCGAAAGTTTCTCACGTTGATTTTACGGTTAAAGAACAATTTTCAATGACGAGGAAGCGTAAGATTTCATCCACGGAAGAGTATGAGAATGGGAATAAGAGGATGAAGAGATGAGATGAGATTTCTGATATGGCGGATGACTTTTTAAGTAAACATCTATCTAGAACAGCTAGTATATTGAATTAAATACATATTATCAATATTAAAACTCTAACTATTATTCTAAGCATTTTTTTGGTGATCAGCATTAGTGATAACCACAACCCTAAGGGGAGTAATGATCCTACCAAAAACTCTCCAATTGATTATTATTCCTTTTAACTTCAATTTTAAACTTTTCAAAAATCTGAAAAAAGAAATGAATAAAGATTCAATTAAACTATATATATATGAAATTACTTTCTCAATATCTTTCAAATTGATGTTTTAGTATCAAATTGAAATAACCCTAAATTTGGTAAAATTGAAGAAAAGCTATAATAATTTTCGAAAATAGGGTAGTAGTAACCCACGAAAAAGCATCAAAACTTATCAATTGATTATTACTCCTTCTAGCTTTAATTTAGGACTTTTCAAAAATCTAAAAAAAGAAATGAATAAAAATTCAATTAAATTATATTTATTCGAAAACAGAATTGAAATATCTTTTAAATTAAAATCTTGAAATTGAATTGAAATAACTTTAATTTTGATAAGGTTGAAGAAAAGCTATAGTATTTTAGGGTTGTAAAAGGGAATAGTAATCTATAAAATAAATCAATTTAGCCACTACTATAAATCCAATTTATAATAAGAAATTTATAATTATTTTATAATAAACTAAAACTTATTTTCATTTATTTATTCAATTCTGAAAACAGATTCAAATTATCTCTTAAATTGATCAATCTATACTAGTTTTATAAAAGATCAAATTTGTTGAAACAGGAGGAATAGTGACCAGTCAAAAAAGTAACAAAAGGAGTGGTGACCAGCAAAAAGTAATATAAGGGAGTTAAATCACATGATCAATACTAATAATACTATGCTATAATACTATACTATAATATTAACTATTATTCTAAGGATTTTTTTGATGGTCAGCACCGGTGGTGACCACTACCCTAAGGGGGGTAATAACCCTCCCAAAAATTATCGAATTGGTTATCACCCTTCCTGACTTCAATTTTAGGGTTTTCGAAAATCTAAAAAAAGAAATGAATAGAGATTTAATTGAATTTTCTATATATAAAATCAGTTCTCCAATATATTTCGAATTAATAGTTAGATATTGAATTGAAATAACCCTAAATTTAATAAGATTAAATAAAAGTTATAGTAATTTTCAAAAGTAGAGGAGAGTGATAACCAGCAAAATGATTTAATTTAACTACCACTATAAATCCAATTTATAATAAGAAATTTATAATTATTTTATAATAAACTAGGGCTTATTTTCATTTATTTATTCAATTCTGAAAACAGATTTAAATTATCTCTTAAATTAATCGATTTATACTAACTTTATAAAAGGTTGAATTTGTAGGGGCAGAGAAAGTAGTAACCAGTAAAAAGTAATATAAGGGAGTTAAATTATATGATTAATATTAATAATACTATACTATAATACTATACTATAATATTATACTATAATACTATACTATAATACTATACTATAATACTATACTATAATACTATACTATAATACTATACTATAATAATATATAATTATAATAATATATACTATAACAAAATATACTATAATATTTTTAATAGGCAGAACCCGTATTGTTTTATTCTACCCAGAGAGAAACCCGTTTGTATATTATTATAATGAAATCAGGGTTAGAATTAGAATCCCTTAATACTTTTTTTCATTTATAATCCATTTTATAATCTATATATAATATTAATTAAACTATTTGAAAAACTTTAATATTTTTTTATTTTATTAAAATTTTTTGCTTTTAAAATTAAAAATTTATTTTTATTAAATTTTTATTTATTTTATAAATTCGAAAAATTATATTTTATATTTTGAGTCTAAGAAATTATATTTTATATTTCAAATTCGAAAAATTGTATTTCATATTTCGAATCTAAAAAATAATATTTTATATTTCAAATTTGAAAAATTATATTTTATATTTTGGATTTGAAAAATCATATTTTATAATTCAAATTCAAAAAATCGTATTTTATATTTCAAGTTTGAAAAATTATATTTTATATTCTGGGTTTAAGAAATTGTATTTTATATTCCAAATTCAAAAAATTATATTTTATATTTTAAATCTGAAAAATTATATTTTATAATTTAAATTCGAAAAATCGTATTTTATATTTCAAATTTGAAAAATTATATTTTGTAATTCAAATTCGAAAAATTATATTTTATATTCTGAATCTAAAAAATTATATTTTATAATTCAAATTCAATACTATAGTGGAATCAGGGTTAGGATTAGAATTCCTTAACACTCTTTTTTATTCACAATTTATTTTGTAATCCATATATAATATTAATTGAACTATTTGAAAAGCTTTGATATTTTTTTACCCTATCAAAATTCTTTACTTTTAAAATTGAAAATTCATTTCTATTAAATTTTCATTTATTTTATAAATTCGAAAAATCGTATTTGATATCCTAAATCTGAAAAATCATATTTTATATTCCAAATTTGAAAAATCATATTTCACATTCCAAATCTGAAAAATCGCATTTCACATTCCAAATTCGAAAAATCGTATTTCATATCCCAGATATAAGAAATCGTATTTTATATTTCAAATTCGAAAAATCATATTTTATATTTCAAACCTAAAAAATCGTATTTTATATTTTAAATTCGAAAAATCGTATTTTATATTCCGGGTATAAGAAATTGTATTTTATATTTCAAATCTAAAAAATTATATTTCATATTCCAAATTCGAAAAATTGTATTTCATATTTCAAATCTGAGAAATTATATTTTATATTTCAGGTTTAAAAAATTATATTTTGTATTCTAAATTTGAAAAATCATATTTTATATTTTGAATTTGAAAAATCGTATTTTATATTTTGAATCTGAAAAATCATATTTCATATTTTAGATCTGAAAAATCATATTTCATATTCCAAATTCGAAAAATTGTATTTTATGTTTTAGATTTAGATTTAGGGTTAGATTCAGGGTTAGGGTTAGGGTTAGGGTTAGGGTTAGGGTTAGGGTTAGGGTTAGGGTTAGGGTTAGGGTTAGGGTTAGGGTTAGGGTTAGGGTTAGGGTTAGGGTAGGG